CTCAGAACAACAATCCTACAGCAAGGGTTAATTAGCATGCAACAGTCCTATCAGAAGTGCGTATCAATATAGCGCCAGATCAAACAATGATAATCCCAATCACACAGTCGACAACAACGGCTGTTAAGCTAAGATGTGTACACACTACTTTAAGCTACAATTTCCGAGAGCTGACCAGAACTAATCCAACAAGCAGTTTCCTATCACAGCTACATGCAAGAACAATGTGTGTGTCTCAGGCTCCCAGAAATGGCCGTCTGCAACGTGAATGATGACTATATCGCAGTTTGTATATGGGCATACAATGAACGGTTTATGCTTTTGTTGCTGCTGAACTCTATACAGACGCTACTAGTGATATAATCGTAACCAAACCACCTTGATATGTAATTTTCAATAATTATGAATATGTACTGTATACAAGTGTTTGCATATTTTCCTACTGAGTACACGTACTACAAAGGTCATTCATTACCTAGGCACTTCGCCTTTGGGTTGATCTCAGTGGAAAGTTAACACCCCCGCTATTAAATTTTATAGAATAAAACGAAGGGGGGGGGGTTTAAAGTATACTCTCCCTCTGGCCTCTCTCTGAGTAGGGAGAGTGCGGAGACTGGAGACTGGAGCACTCAGAAAATAATATATCTTTAAATCTCATAATCTGAGCCCTGAGTGAGAGAGAAAGCCTTTTTTAAACTTTTGGAGCGGCTCTACATAATACATATCCACCAGATTATGCATTTACTTTATACACTGTAATAGATAAAAGTGACAAGTAACAAGTGACAACCGTCTATTTCATACTGCAGTCGTCTATAAGCAACACATATATGCTCTCGTAGTAGAATAAGTGGTAGTACACTACGTATGCACAAATTCCTCAACGAGCTCAATTCATACATATTATCGAAGTCCTGAGGATTTACGTATGGACTTCAACAGGGACATTTAACAAGATGGCACAAGTCATACACATACACTCAGACACTCCACGTATACAACTCACATATGCATACGCATACATACGTAAATACATACTTACATACTTACATGCATAAATACATACCTACATGTATACATACATACATACATACATACATACATACATACATACATACATGCATACATGCTACATACATACATACATACATAAATTCCTTCATACATACTAACATACATATATACATATATACATTTATATATATATATATATATATATATATATGTGTGTGTGTGTGTGTGTGTGTG